TGCGGGTGTACAATGCTGTGCAATGGCATTATCTAACATCCTAAGGGCCAGTATTCTTACACCACAACACTGGTCTACAAACACCCTCAATCTGAATATGATAACAGGTGAGCAAATCTACAGTAATATAAGGTTTCAAACGGAGAGAAGTCTATCAGCATATCCTATCGAAGATGATGGATACCTAATGGTGCGAAATTTCAATGCGGTCAAAGATGATTTGATCGCATTTGGCAAAAGGTTCGAGATAACTTTTAACGACGAACCAAGCATATATGGAAGCTTGAATGATAAGTATAATGAAGCAAACCTTGGACGCACCCTTCGTCAAGGTCTGGAAGATCTGTTTATAGTATAAAGCGCCGGCATATTAATAACAGGTGGACAATCATTCGGAGTGATGCATTACAATGATAAATATTACTTCAGCAATTCACATTCTTGTGGTAAAAAGGGATCCAGAGCGAAGGACAGCAATGGAAAAGCTTGCATCATCGAATGCGATAATTTAGAAGAGTTTGTAAGGATTTGTAAACGTGCAACAGGCAGCAGAAATGTACAGTATACCCTTGATTACGTCGAAGTTGAAGTTTTTGATATAGATGATGACTCTGAGGAAACAGAAACACAGCAGAGTATTGCGACGTTACCGGCAGCGTCTGAAACGATCACTTCTCAACAGGAATTAACTGATCAAGTAATTCCACTGCAGACATCAGTGATGGCACCGATTGATGTAATGCAACCCAATGTGGAGGATGAACTACAGGTTTCGGAAATTCTCAATGAGATCACCCGTAAAACGAAAGACAATATCGTTAATGTGGGGCATGAACTGAAAGCAGAAGAATTTGACTGGTACTTCTTGTTTCCTTATGGAAGGAACGGTTTTAAAGAGCAAAGACCTGTAAATATTACAGCATTAGACTACTTCCATTTCAGAACTTTGGGAAGTGATACAAGATTTCAACGCAATGACTATCTCTTTTATGCCTTATCTTTCTTTGAATATTATCGTATCAAAAGCACTATATCAGCATGTGGCAAGAAAATAGTTAATCAAGAAGGAGCAGTCGAAGAGGTACATCTGTATGTGAAAAATTTGAGAGGTTCTGCAGCTTATTGGAGATCCGCCTTGAACGAGCTACTAGCTCAAATCAGATGTTTAGGAGCTCCAACCTACTTTGTAACATTTAGCTCAAATGATCTCAACTGGTTAGATCAACGAAAAGCTTTGTTAATAGCTGATGGTAGACCTGATGTTGATCCTAATACGCTGGACATTTTTGAGACTCAAAGACTTATCGAAAAGTACCCAGTAATTTTAAGTCGACATTTCATGGTTAGAGTAAATGCTCTACTGAAATTTATCAAAAACAATGACGAAGTATTCGGCGGCAAAGTGAAAGACCATTGGTGGCGTATTGAATTCCAGAATCGGGGGAGTCCTCACCTTCATATGGTGATTTGGATTGAAAATCATCCAGAGTTTGACTCAGAAAGGGAAACTTCTTCTCGATCGTAACTGTTGCTGTAGAATGCCTACAGAAGAAGAAGATCCAGAGTTCCACGATCTAGTTAAGAAATGTCAAATTCATCGGCATACACAAACTTGTACAAAAAATAATACCTCTGTAAGATGCCGATTTAACTTTCCACGTCAAGAATATGACGAAACACGAATTGTGTCTCATTCTTCAGATGGTTTTCTTCGTAACGGAGGTAGAATTTCTTTACTTAAGCGTCGAAAGGAAGATGCGTGGGTAAATAATTACCACCCAGAGTTATT